ATACAAAGTTCGAGCATTTCAAGTGAAAATCCAAGATTACATAACAGATACATCACTGCCAAGTGAACTCTGACGGTAACTCCTGTAGAGCTTCAAACCGGTCCTTCTTCCCGCTTGCTGTAAGTGACATCCAGCCCTGAAGGGAAACGAGCCGAACTCCCAAGCCTCCACATCCCACAGGACTGCCAATTGTCTCCATTGCCTCAGCTCACCACAGCCGCTTGCTCACCGATGGAAGCGCAGCTATCAGACACAGCCGGCGCAGTGGCGGCATGGTGTGGCGCGGCGCAGCCGCCGGTACCGCAATGCGGCGCATTCCAGCCGAGAAAACGCGCCGCTCCGGCATGCAGTGGATGACCGCCGCCGGCGCTGGTGGAGCGGTCAGTCGCCACCGCAGCGGCCGCCCGGCACCGCAGCAGCCACTGCCACCAGTGCTATCAAGGTATTCACCCAGCACCGCTCCTGGCACTGGCTGCTATTCCTGCCCAGCACAGCAGCAGCAGCAGCAGTCGCCTGACGCTGCGACTAGTAACTTACGCAGTTACCGATGTTGTTATTTGCATACGACTTCAACTGTTGCTTCTGCTTCTGCTTCATCTAAGTCGTACCACTTTTCATCTATTTTAGTGCTGCCTTAATCGATCATTCTCATGAGAAAGGACGCTTCTTGTTGGCTATTATCGGCGTACCAGCAATACCGAAAGCAGCCAAGGTTTCCTGAAGTTATTGCGTCGTAGACAGAAAAGCTACCTCATCCAAATTTAACATATTCGCTACAGTAATATGTACAAGAACCGCAGTGTATTTTTCCATCCGCAGAGGCTTAGCGACCTGGGCGGCCACGTGCTTCACACGCGAATCCTCGTAGACCAGTTTTCCATGGCATGACATAATGGCCGAACGCCTGGCGGAGCGTAAAAACCTCGCCGGCAAATTCACGAAGGCTGACCTGGCTGAAGGGTTCAAAGATTCTAGACCTCACTGACGATTCTGACGGCCATCGCCCATAATCGCACGCCTTCAAATAGTCACGACGAATGGCTACCATCATAGTCAATTTCGTCTCAGTAGATATGATTTACAGATACCTATATCCAAATGGGACTTGAAACATAACTAGTCTTCAAGGAAATATACTACTTTCTGCAAATGAGATTTTGGCTAATGTTCTTTTTATTTTTTTTATGCTTAAAATGATTAAAACAGAAAGTAATATGAAGAAAAGGTTTTTTTTAATTATTTTCATAAAGGAGGACGCATATTCCATCTTTGGTAGAGGCTAAATAGCGTTTGCGGTGGAAGCTTATTACGCGTTGACCCATCATACTGCGTGATAGTCACCGTGACTGCGTGGTTCAAAACCAACTGCATGCTGATTGGCTGACGTTGCCCTCTTCGACAGGTGGCTGCATTCTTGGCATTCTTCCGTAAGGCACTAAATTCCTGCGTAAGGCAAGGCACTGATTTCGGAAAGATAAATGGAATATATTTGCCCATAGGGTAATCGTCGGGCAGTAAAAGCTTCTGATGTGCTATATAGTCTCAGCCCAAGCTACAAAACTGCCATTCCAGTTCAAAACTCCATGTTAAAAGTGGTATACCTACAAGTGATGTCAGTTGCAGAAAATGCATGTCCAATGTCCGTCCAATGTCATGCATTTTCGTCGACTCCCCGTCCAAATATGTTGAAGCCAGCCATTTGTACAAATATGTATGTCGAAAACTACGCAATAATCAACACCCAGCACGATCATTTAAATTGCTTTTATGAACTATTTTGTACCAAAAAGTGTTTATCATATAGAGAGTTTAGCTGCGCCTTCTATTCGCCAATCAATGCTATACAAAACTGTGATAAAAATGCTGAGGTTTAGCAGTGATCGTTTAATGTTGTCCAAAGCCTGCTGCCTTTTCTAGCACGAAAAAAAAAAACACAACAGGAACAGTCAAACAGTTTATCGCTAGAACAATGCCTTTTTCTGACTGAGCACCACTTTTATCAGAAATCAGGGGACAGAAATCATTCGACAGATATTTGTTGTCCCAAGTTTTGCAGTTTGTGAGATGTTCAGTCACATTAACAGAACAGGTCGATTTCATTGCACAAATTTTCACCAATTGTGGTAGCGAAGCCAATCGCTTGATAGTTATGACCAATATCAGATTCCAATTAACTTGTGATGTTCGACTTCATTTGGTTTGGGCGATACGACTAAACGAGCAAAGCACCGTCCTTTCACTGATTATCGTGAGAGAAACATTCGAGATCGAATAATATCGCTGCGTTATCCACTTCCACAAAAGTAATTAACTAATAATTTATCCGCACAGGTAGCTGAGAAAACTCCAGCTCATCACAATATGAAATGGTGGACTTCAATTTTTCCCATATCAGTCACACGGAGCATTAATTCAGTCAAATGCTTATAAACAAAATGTTTAATTTTATCGAGACGCATAAAATGATTATTGCCTGCCAAAATGTCGGTGACAGACTAAAGAGCAAACCCTCTAATGATCCTCTCAATTCTCTCAACGAGTGTTTAAACAGTAATTATTCCAGTGGAATTTTCGAGCTCCACATCATATCATGTAACATATCGAGCTTTTCTGACGTGGTTAACAGAAAACCTACTGAAAGACAAGGGTCAAATTGGGACGTGGAAAAACGACATGAGGCTAACGTATATGCAATAGGGTAGCCTGGGGCAAGACGCCCCAGATAATTTATTTTGCTACATAACTTTTGTCCCACATCACCTGGAAGGTCAAATTTGTGCTCAATGCGTTCTTTGGACATTTTACTTTAAATTCCACCCCTCAAATTCATTCACTTATGATCGGACTCCCAGCTAGGAAGTGATTTGTGAAGCAACTGCAAATAGGGCGTTTTGCCCCAACCCCAGGGCAAAACGCCCCACGGCCTGGGGCAAGAAGCCCCATACTCTAGATTAAAGATTAAACATGCTAGTTGAATAAATCTTATATGAGAGGTCCGTTAGACCTTGGGAGGCACGGCACTGAAGTTAGCACCTTCCATCCTATCAGGTGTTCAGCTACGACACTATTGTGTGAGCAGTTTTTTCACCTGCCTCAGAAGGCCAAATAATAAATTATTGCAATGCAAATGTTAACAAAATACTTCCTTTGCCATCCAGTTGCTGAGAAAAGTACATATAAATGCAAAGAAACATGCCGTTCGCCAGCTACCGAACATTAGGAAGTGGGTAGTCCGAACAACACATGAGGTAAAACGCCCCATGGGGCTTTTTGCCCCGCGACCTACTGGGGCGTTTTACCCCATCACGTAGTACGGTCAGAGAACAACGCCTTGCACTCCAGGAAGACACAATTTAACACGAACCAACCCGGCATTATAAGCGTTAGACAATAGTCGTTCAAAATACATAAAAGTCGTTAACCTGATGTGGACGATAAAAGAACGCCATGATGCATAATCTGACAACAAAACATAAAAATCACTCAAAAAACACATTTTTGGCTATATCTCCCTAAAGCGTCATCACAATTTCTTTCCAGTCTGCTCATATAATGATCGTATAGTGCACGTTTTATAGAAGAGAGGATGTTTCCCCAGAACCTTGCCAGTTCCGAGAAACATCGGTGAGGCGTTTTACCTCGGCGGGGCGACTTGCCCCGGTCTACCCTACATCAATAGCAAATTTTAACGTTATCAAGCAGGCAGGTGTTAAATAAAGAATGTTTCAAATAAATAAACCAATAATTTATTTAGGCCGCATGAACCTGACAATGAATTCAGTACATCGCTCGACTACGCACAGTGGGCAGTCCAGTGACTCCAATCTTCTTGAGTTGGCGACATGAATGGCTTGAAGAATTCGCAATTTTGAGCATTTCGCCATTAGAATGCGTTGATTGATTACTGGTTGAGATGCGTTGGAAAGAGAAGGGAGAAGCCAATTAGTCGGGCAGCATGGATAAAAATAGAAACAAAGCAAGAAACGATAGAATACCCCCAAAAATTATTTAATCCTAAGCTGACTTAAGCGGCCAACTATTGGTCGTAGTGGTCAAAATTTTCTTTAAAATCTCCATTAAAAAAAAATATCCCTTTCCTTGTAAATCAGAGCCACTCAACGTGGCAGCAACATCGTGCTTCAGCAGACATCACATTCCTTGCACCGGAATATCTTTACCAGCCTTCTCTTCTGAAAGAAGCTGATATAGCCTAATTAGCTATGCATTCGATCCCACCCGTTCCCAAATATTCGATGGCGACTTTCAAACGGCAGGCCCCGCCTCGCACCCACGGGCCATTTCCATTCGCCTTTCGTGTTTTTCCCTCTACAATGAAATAGGAGCACGTTCCCTCCCCTCCCCTCCTCCCCGCGCCCGATAGGAGGCTCCCCGTGGCAAACCTCCGCAGGCGGCGGCCGCCCTCACTGCGCATGCGCGACGGGAACATCGACCTACGGGCGGCAAAATCCGATATCGGCAGCGACGGGGCGCCGGGCGCGGGCCGGGGAGCCACGCCGCCGCGCCCCGGCCCCCGACGCTGAGACGGTAGCGCCTCACCTACAGGGCGAGGGCGAGGGCGAGCCCGCACAGCCCCCGACACATCTCAACGAGACGAGCAGGCAGAGCGGAGACGAGCGGGCCGGTCGCCGTGGGGGCGAGGGGAGCGAGGGACGCCGCGTGACACCACTGCCGGACGCCGCCGCTGCCGCCCGAAGACGCCCCCTGCCGGCGCACCCGGCGACGGCTACATCCCCTCCCCTACAGAAAACGGCACTGACACGCTGCTCGAACCTGGCGCTATCACGTAACGTGCACAGCATCGCGAATAACATCAAAAAACGACGTGCGCGCAGTTGCAGAGACGGAGAAACCGAGACAAATACACAATGAAGACAATTGTAGCGCACGTCACAAGCGGCGTCCGCCGGTCGACCGGAAGCCATGCCTGTCGGATGAACTGCGGGTATATCACTCACACACGAACCTCCCGAGCTACTCACCATCAGCAGGCGGCTGTCCACCGTCGGCCACCCACTCACTGGGCACGTGGGCGCCGCAAGCGAAGCGCAGCACAGCGATTCTCGCCGAATCGGCGCCCCACACAGCGCGGCCACCCCGTGTCGCCAGTTCCTCTCGCTCTGCGCCCCGCTCCGCCCGGGCGGCGAGCGGCAGCCGGGGGCGGAGTCAACCGCCGCCCGGCCCTCCCATTGGCTGCCGCCGCAGCCATGGAAGTGACCCACCAATCAGAAGCGTCGCTCATCCATTCTGGCGGCTACGTCAAGGTTACTACTACACTGCGGCTTCCCGCCGTAAAAATTCCGCGCTCCAGCGCGCGACGCTCCGTGTTTCGCGCTCAACGCGCGGCCCGTTCGCCGCCGTTTGAAAATGCCAGCGGCGTGGAGCGGCGCGGCTGCGGCGTGGCGTGGCGCAGCAAAGGCGCGCGGCCCGCGAGGCGAAATCAATACGCGTAGTACGCCGTCCACTACGCCGTCTCGGCGGTCGCCTCGGCCGAGTCTCCAGAGCGACGGAGACAGCAGCGGCGAGCGGACTTGGCCTGGGGTATCGCCGCCACCGCCGTCCGCTCGACAGTGTCCACTGACACAGCGTCACTGACACTGACACACTGGCACCGAACTTCGCACGCACCAGCACATTTTCTGACACCAGTCCGGCCAGCCCCGTCGAGCTACGAACCTGAACGGCCGCACCGACAAAATTTGCCGTCTTACGCCCGGCATCTGATCTGTAGAACGGCGAGCCTCTCACCTACACACGCGTGTTTGGTTGCACTTCACCACCGCTCGCTCACTGCTCAGCGCACAGCGAATGGCTCTCTGCCCACTGCTCAGCGCACAGCGAACGGCCCAGTCGCACGCCCAACAGGATATGACGCTCGGTGCGTAGTGCGTCGGCGCAGGTCGCACAGGAAGGTCAGCGATCCCGACCAACTGGGACGGAAGCTGGCGGCGCTGGGCTGCTGGACGGCCGGTGCAGGGCGCTGGTCAACTGACTGAGCAGAGCGACACGCACCAAACCGACACAGCGCAGACTCACACGACCACTGGAGTATGAGCGCAGCGCTGACTAGGACGCCCACTCTAGCATATGATTGCACCAGCCACCAAACGACAGGCGTGTCGGCAGCATTGAGAGTGGGGGGATGGGTCACGCACTGCACTGGAGCAAAGTGGAGCGAATGGAACCGCAGCGATGAGCACTTTGAACATTAATTGGAATGAACAATGAGCAGTGACCGCTGATGAATCCTGAGCGTACTTTCATGAGTTAGTCCAGGACTTAAATCCTTCATGTACCGAATGGGACCGCTTCCTATTTTTGGTTTCTAGGTCGGCGTGAATTGAGGCGTTTCAAAATACTTTTAATGTTTTGGAGAAATGTGCTGTTCAGGAGAAACTGATCGATATCCCCTTCAAACTCTTTTCGGTGCAATAAACATTCATAATCTTCGAGTCGAGGAAAAAGTGAATAGTGTATAAGCTCTGGAAGCAACAGAAATTGAATTACGATCAGATGCTCCTCGAAAGACGCCAATCGACAAAAACATTTGCAAAAGAAGCCTTGACTAGACAGAGAAACGAAGACGTCGGGAGCTAAGCTAGTTCGCCTCACGGCTCACATGCAACTACACCCAAAACTTTTTGTAGGCAACAGCAAATGCGAAAAAAAGTTTTTTTTTCTGCAATACTGAATCAATGTCCTTGTGAGCAAATGTCAAGAGTTGCGTATGTAAATAAGACATTATTCAGCCCAGCAGAAACATGCTCACAAGAACGATTGTAAATGCATTATCCTAATAAAAATGAGCGGACGAAAACAAAAACTGCTACGCCATGAAAACAGAGACACCGGAAGGGTGATGGAGATTCAAAGAACATGGACGAAGAGATGGAGAAAAAGGGAGAGCATGAGAGAGAGTTAAAGAAAGAAAGAAAGAGAGCTAGACTCTGAGAGAGAGACAGAGAGAGAGAGAGGGAGAGAGAGAGAGAGAGAGAGAGAGAGAGAGAGAGAGAGAGAGAGAGAGAGAGAGAGAGAGAGAGAGAGAGAAAGAGAGAAAGGAAAGCGAAAGAGAAAAGTGGAGAGCAGAGAGCACAGAGCAAGAAATTAAGTAGGATAGAAGAAGAAAAGAGAATAAAGTTACTGAGAAAAAAGGCCAGGGCTAGGCAAGTAAACTTAACAGCTTCACACGAACAATTCATCTGTGAACCATCAAATTATCAAAATTACTGGATTATTTTTTCTGCTTCTTCCATTAGTGGATTGTGTTCAACGTGCATGTGAAGAAAGGCATCCAACTAATAAAGTCTACGCCAATTATGAGGTTCCTTCATGCTCACGTAGATTTTATAAATGGTTGAGCTTACCTAGTGCTTTGGAAGCTTCATTATTGCACATGGCACACGCCCCCGTTCTGGTAAAAAAAAACTCATCCCTGGTCCAAACAAGCTACCCAAAGCAAGGGGATTGAAAGCGTTACATGCAGACATAAATTCAGACATTTTCTAACGAGTTATCTGGGAGGATTCTTTGCTGCTGGCAAAGTCCACGATAAAGAAGTCCATGCTGGCAAATCAAGACTGGGTACAAAGAGCTGCGGTCCAAAAGTCAAAACAAAGCAGATTGAACGCTGCACAGTCAACAATAAACTAAATGATGGACGACCCTGATCATACAAAATTTGATTATCTTTATAACCATTCAGCAAACACAAGCAACAATAGCGTTATTTGTCGACACTCGACGCTACATTCAGATCAGCAAAACGAGCAAAATGAATAAAACGAAACTGGCACCAGTCTCCAACAAAAAAGAAAAAGGAAAATAAGCATGTGAATGAAACCCTGCCAAGTTTTATTGGAGCTATGCTCAACTCTATGAAATGGTTCATCCAATGATAGTGTCCCTTGCCCGTCTAAGAAACCTCCCAACTGGCGTTTAGCGCGGTGAAAATAAAAAGTCATGCGAAATAGCTAGACGAAGTTTTCACAACCCGCTCAAGTTGATGTGATTTGTGGAACACCAATGCATTAGCAAACGCCGACAATACGATGGATTTTAATCGCATTCGATTCGAAGTAGCGAGTGAGACAAGAATATGCAGTAATTATTGCACGTTTTTTACGAAAAGCACAAGTGAAAACGACTGCTTTGCTTTCAATTTTCAATTCGCATTTTACAATTTGCATTTGCAGTTTGCATTTGAAACCTGCATTTTTACATTTTTCAATGTGTAAATAAAACAAGGAAAAGAAGAGAAACGAGGCAAGGAAGTGATCGATCGAATGGCACTTGTCAATTTCTTTTTTGTCAACATTGGACGACATGATGCTCCCTAACTCGATATTATCCAAGTTCGGGGCCACCAGCCCCATAACTCGTCCACAGCACGGTCGGGCCGCCGTGTTGGTTGAGCCGCTGCCGGATGGCCGTACGCGGGAAGGTTACGGCCAATAGCCGGCGACTTAGAGCCCACTTAGTGGAACACTTCACCTCAGTGGCTCGTAATAGCAGAGACATGTGCAAAACTCACGCCACATACCCGTACGTGTTTCTTTTGCTGTCAGCCGGTTTTCTGCGATTGCCAGTGAGTAACAGTCCGCTTATGGTAAATCGATTAAAACATCTCCAAAGTTTTATTCGTTAAATGATTATTCATGTTCCATTTATTAGATCAGACTTTAGAGAAAGGTGAAAAGGGCAGTCCGTAAGGCTGGATGAAGTCCGGTTCGCTCACTGAATATTGAAGAGTGAGAGAAAACGAGCTCAGAAATGTTTTAACTCTTGCAAACCATTTTGCACCCTGATTTATATTTTGAATATCAAGCTTCATCTTAGCTCGTATCCCCAGATGACGGGCAAAAGTAGAAGAACATGTAACAACATAATGCGCACCACACGCCAGTTGCTCAGATTCCTTCAGTTGTACTATACGTCTTTGGCCTGAAACTATTTCGTTTCTAATACAACATCTCGTGCAAACTTGTTGGGGTAGTTAAGCGTTACACAGGCTGTTTCCTAGAGTCCTCACGCCAATCAACCCACTGAATCGAGACTGCTACAGTGTGATTAAATTCGATAAATGTTTGGCGCCTTTTATCCCTCGTAGGGAATACCTGGCTGGAGGAATTAAATATTTTACGCATGTGTACGGCCCTGTAGTCGGGCTAGGGAGTAGGAGTCTGAGTCGGAGTCTGTTAGAGTCGACTTTTCTGACTGTAGTCGGAGTCGAAGTCAATTCTGGAACCCGGAGTCTTGAGTCGAATTCGGAGTTACCGAAAACACATCGACTCCACATACTTGCCACTTTGCCAGGGCTGCGGAGTCGGAGTTGGAGTCGGTCAAGGATAGTTCTTACCGGAGAAAATCGATTTTTGGAGGCCCGGGTCGGAGTCGGGGTCACCGAAAATCCATCAACTTCGCAACCCTGCCTTCAAGTAGAAAGTGGTTGGCTGCAACTCGCAATAATCGATCTGCATTGATGAGTAAGCCTATGGGGTACATTCAAGAAATTAACAAAACACTGCCAAGGTATCCGCACGAAGCCCCTACTCAATTGAATTGAGTCATTTGACTAGAGTTTCTGTCATTCATTCAACGTTATTATACGAAAACACATTGGCTGACCAAAACTCTTTTGCTGGAGAGCCGTGCTTTTGTGGTAATAAAAATAGAGGGACAACCCCAAATGTCTCGCGCTAGACACAACGCAGAATGATTGAGCAATTTCGTTAGCATCAGGCCGTACTAAGACGGTCAGGAGGATTGTACTGACGCTCCACTAATGAGGGTGAGTGAATTATGTACATTCTATAACGCGATTTGATGCTCATAGTTCAGTAGTAATGAAAGACATGCTTCCCATACTGTCGAGAAATGGCAAAACTGTGAGCTTCTTGAATTGGTCGGTTTTCTTGAACTTTGATAAGTGCCGAAGTGGGTGCTGGAAATGTCTCACATGGTCGATTTTCCCTTCATCCCTCATTAGGCTATGCTGGTTGTCCCATATACATGAATGTTCCTTAAACATTTTTTTCTTGTCACTCTGCATCAGCCTCCTCCCTTGTTATGTTTTGGTTCGTTTGAGTGAAAGAGCACACAATCAATGAAAAACGCGATTTATTATACTGTGATACGTTCAGGCCGAAAGAATCCAAAAAATAACAAGTCTGGCGAGCGCCGCACCTAGTCGCCCGCGCCAGTCATGCCGCTCGGCGCGCACCGTCAGCTGGCGGCGGCA